CTCTTTTGCTGATTGTGACGATTCAAATCAACTCATTTTACTTTCTGTAATAAATGGAGTATTCCCATCTCCATCTTAATCTCAGAAGAAATGTCAACTAAAATATGTTTTAGTGACATGAATATTCTAATAATAGTATATATTTGAAATGGAAATTATTGATGTTTCCTATTGTAAGCAGCTTATTTTTTAATATATTTTTATTGTAAAAATACTGCACAGAGAGGTTACAGTTACATGAGTAAGATAATGACTACATTTCCTATTGAGCATTGTTACCTCCTCCTTTGTTTTTCCCCTACCATCCCTTTCCTCCTCGCCTCCTTCCCCCTTCCTGAAGTTGTAAAGTTAGTTTTCAACATAGTGTCTTGTACATCTCATTGTTAAAATGGGTAAAGCTGTATCCTTATTTCAACATTTTGTTATTTCCTTTTCCCTCACCAAATTAGAAAAATGTATATTCAAGATGCAGGGCACTGGAATCAAATACAGTGAAAACAGGGGTTATAACATTGGGGAAAAACATACAAAAGAAACAAAAATAATCACAAAGTACATTAAAAGTACATTAAATCAACAGCAAGAAAGATAAAACCACTTGTGTCCCTATCTTGGGGTTCATTTCACTTAGCATCATCTTATACGGTTGTATGTACATAGCTTTTGACCTCTTCTGCTTGTCCTAGACATTTGCTAGTTATTGCAGGTAAGGGAAACCATGGGACCTATGTTTCTTTGGGCCTGGCTTACTTCACTTAATCTAATTTTTCCCAAGTCTTTCCAGTTCCTAACAAATGGGGTGATGTCATTCGTTCTGATGGAGGCATAGAATTCCATTTTATATATATATACCACATTTTCTTGATCCTTTCATCTACTGAGGAGCATCTGGGTTGGTTCCATGTCTTAGCTATGGTAAACTGTAAGCAGCTTATTTATCTTGTAGTATCCAACTAACTTTCATATTGAAGAAGCTAACATGCTGGCCTGTCACTAAAAGCCTCTTTCTAGGTATATTCACTCCTATAACAAGGGTGGATAATTTATAATTGACTAAATATGGTTTTCCTGATCAGTTCATAGGCTTTAGGTCAAAAGCTATATCTCTCATATTTTATATGAAAAAGCCACGTACAATGAAATCACAGTCTTTTTGCACTATTTCAAACTCCACATTGTTTAAGCAGAAGGTATTTAAACAAGGTGGTGGCCTCAGGAGGAGCAGTGACTCTAGGAGAGAAATGGTAGTGGTGTATATAGAGGCACACGTACAGATATGATGTCCACAAGTGCACAGACACAAAGACTGGGTATTGAAAGAGTATAAAAGAAAGTCTTTGTTCTTCAAAGTATTTAAATTCTAGTCCCTTTTATCTTCTAGGAAGGATAAAATGACTTCTCTGGGAAGTTTTGAACTTCTTTTCAAAGGTAATGCAATTCTATTTTCAGAGAAATGGGAACTCTAGAGTCTAAGAAAAGGAGAACAGAATCCATGGACTTAGTGTGAGATGTACATGTGTCAGGAGCATTGCAAAATTAGAACAAAAGAGGAACTGGAAAGGTGGCTCAGTGGTAGAGTGCTTGCCTTGCATGCATGAGGCCCTGGGTTCAATTCCTAAGGACCACATAAGTAGAAAAAAACTGGAAGTGGTGCTGTGCCTCAAGTGGTAGAGCGCTAGCCTCGAGCTGAAGAGCTGAGGGACAGCACCCAGGCCCAGAGTTCATGCCCCACGACTGACAAAAAAGAAAAAAAAGAAAGAAAGAAAGAAAGAAAGAAAATTCCTATAAGTATTGCCACAAACTAGATTGGGAGGCTTAGCCAGCCTTGCATTCTTGGGGCACTGGTGGGAATAGTGATGTTTCTACCAAGCAGGCTCCCAGTACCACATGAGGAAAGCCTTGAGAAATTCTGTTTCCTTATAGGGTTTTTTTTTTATTCCTCTGGAATATAGGATCTGTTGCACCCTAGCATACTCACTGGAGTCTCATGCTCAGCAGAGGCCACTGCTTTTTAGTCATGTAACCTAGACATATGGTATATTTACTGTCTGACATGTTCTTGGACTGAGCTATTAGTTACTCTTGCATACATGTGACAAAATTTCTAAGAGAACAGATTAAAGGAAAAGGATTTATTTTGGCTCACAGGGTTCTATCTGTGGCTCCTTGGTCCCATGTGCTTAGGCAGGGCATCATGGCAGTGGGAGCTGGCTGAGAAGACTGTCCACCTCTGGTAGGACAGGAAGCAGAGATCAGAGCTCGAGAAACTAGGTGTAACCTTCAAATGTACATTGTAGAATCTACTTCCTCAAGGAAGATCTCACCTTCCAAGGTCTACCCCACTTCTGAATAATGCCATAAACTGGGAACCAAATATCAACACATGAGCTGTGTGGTCCTTTCATATTCAAATCATAGCATCGAGTTAGACTTTTGAAAGCCTTTATAAGGTTTAAGTTTTGGTGATTGGGGAAATTAATACTATAAACAAGCAAAATGTTGTAAACAAACAATGTTTAGGGTATCAGACAATGCAATGGAACAAAGCAGTGAAGGCTGATCTATGCAGGAAGTGGAAGCGATAGTGTTAAATAGGGCAATAACTGAAAAATAAGTATTTGAAGAAGAAACACTCAAAAGTATTTACAGAAAAAAAAAACCAGAATTATCTCAGGGAAGAGTACTCATGGAACAAGTAGTGATAAGTACAAAGGATCTGAGACAGATGATACCCTATATTTTTACACCAAGGTAAGTAAAGCTGAATCTGAATGAGGGAAAAATGGACTGGAATAGATCTTGTACCTGTGAATCATATAGGTCATTGTGGACCTGTGAAAAGGTTTTGGCTTTGCTCTGAGATGAGATGAAGTATGAAGTTACCTAACTGTGATTATAGAAGAGTGAGGATAGCAGTGGTGATATTATCTCTTGGGCTATTACAGAGGTAGGATAACTCCAAAGAAAGTGCTAAAGAGTCATGGGGTTCTGTTTACAATTGAAAGTCAGAGGAAGAAACATCAAAGATAGTCTCATGGCTTTAACCTAGACAACTGGAAGGATGAGATCTTTATTTATTTATTTATTTTATAGGGAACCAAAAAAATACGCTTAAAAGAAATCACACTTTTGTTTTGGGGTATGTTTAGTTGAGGTACCTAAGTAGATATGCAATTGAAGATGTCTTATAGGCAGTTGAGTTTGGAGTTCATGGGAGAAACAAGTGCCACAAAAATAAGTCAGGGTACCATTAGTATTTAAAGTCACACAAATAGACCAAGTTCTTACTCTCATGATTGTGACATTCACTTGGGATTTTGGGGCAGAGTGATATATGTTGCTATACCTCAGACTGGGAATAATAGGGTAAGGGCACCAGTCTGATATCAGTACTACTTTACTAAATACTGCAGGGAAATTCACATATTTTCTTTAAAAAATTCTCAATCAGTGGTAGAGCGCTTGCCTTGCATGCATGAGGCCCTGGGTTCGATTCCTCAGCACCACAAAAGCAAAAAGAAAAAAGCCGGAAGTGGCGCTATGGCTCAAGTGGTAGAGCGCTAGCCTTGAGCTTGAGAGCTGAGGGACAGCGCCCAGGCCCAGAGTTCAGGCCCCACGACCGGACCCAAAAAAAAAAAAAATTCTCAATCATACAATTCATTGGAATTTTAGTGTTTATCAGATTCAAATAGCTAGGAAGCTAAACAAATATATTGGTGAGTATGAATAGAGGAAGAAAGAGAATTCTACAATTATAGATTATCAGGTTGTGTAGAATCTATAAACAGATGGAGGGAAAGTGGGCTGACCCACAGTCTTCCCACTGCAAAGATCCAGAATGACCTACATCAACAAACTCTTTCCAGCTGGAGCTTTCTTAAGCCAAGATGATGATTAATTTTGCAATTAGACCATACGATTAAGGCTTATGCTCACAATTGGATGATAGCTTAGACTCAAATATATAATTAGCCTTTTAGTTGGTCTTAGAAGAACATTTGTAAACTTGCAAACTTCCGTACAGCAAAAGAAACGATTACCAGAGAGAAGAGACCGCCTACAGAGTGGAAGAAATCCTTGCCAGCTATTCATTTGACAGCAATTAATATCCAGAATATATAAAGAACTAAAAAAAATCCTACCAAAAAATTCAATCAATAAATGGGAACACAAACAGTGTTCTCAAAAGAATAAATGCAATGGCTATTAGTACATGGAAAACTATTCAATATTTTTATCCATCAGTAAAATGCAAATCAAAATGACATTGAAATTCAATCTCATTCCAGTCAGAATGGCTATCACAAAAAACCCAACACAAATGCTATCAAGGATGGGGTTGAACCTTATACACTGTTGGTAGGAATGTAAATTAGCACCACCATTTTGGAAAACAGTATGGAGGGTTGTCAAAAAACTAAAAGTCGAACTACCATGTAATCTTGTAATACCACTCAGGTATATAACTAAAGGAACTAAAGTCAGCATACCCAAGAGCTACCTGTACATTTGTATTTATTGCAGTATAATTCACAATAACCAATCTGTGGGCTCAGCCTAAGTGTCTATCAATTGATGAATGAATGAGGAAAATGCAGTATACAATGCATCCACAATGGAGTTTTGTTCATCCATACAGGGGAACTGAGCTCATAATGTTAGGTGAAATAAGCCAGATTCAGTAAGATAGATACCACATTCTCTCTCCTATGTGGAATCTAAATTAAAATTTAAAAATATACAAATGTGGAAAAGGGAACCATTTTGGAAGAGGAAAGGAATCATCAGGAGAGGAGATAACAGAGGGCAAAAAGGTGGGTATATGTGTGAATATAATCAAAGTACATTGTATACATGTATGAAAATATATAATAAAACTAATTATTTTGTGCAATTAAATATGAATAAAGTGTTAACAAAAAGTTTAAATAGAAAAGATAAAGTAAAAAAAATATAAGATTCTTCTGAGAGGGGTCATTTATGACTGCACAGGTCTTAAACTTTGCCTTATAGTTTTATATTTGGCATGTTCTCTACACAAAAAGCTCTTGATTAGATTCTCTCATTTTACTCAGCTCTTTGTTCTGTTTCCCACAACATCTTACCCAAAGTGATTAAAATCTCTCCCTCTTTTATTTTCTCTTAAAGTACCTTTCTTTATAAGGCCCATTTATAATGTCTTTTGTTTATTGTCTGTTTTCTTTCACTGGAATTCATATGAACAGAAACTCAGTGTTCTTTATTGTTGTCTCTTTAGGAACTAGTGACTGGCATATGTTATACATTTCAAAAATAATTGATGAATAGATGATTAAATGAACCCATTGGAAAGTTAACTAGAATCAACTTGTATATTACTTTATCTTCCCCTTTCAAATGTTCGTATGCTTGTTATGTCTAAAATAGATATTGTCTTTTCTGCTTTTTTTGCCCAAAAAGTGCTTATGGTGTTACATTATTTATAGTTTACAGAGCTGCATAATGGATAGGCAGAAGTAAAAAAGAAACATTGGAAACCTTGTTAGTGTGTCCAGCCTTCTTACAGAGTCTTGTAGAGTCAATTCTTTTAAGAAGGCCTTTTTCAAAGATATGTGTAGTTTTATGATTTTCTACTTCAATTTACATCTATAATTTGAACACAAACTGTCCTATTTATGGAGAACATTTTTTGTTATTATTTTATGTCTTAGATGGAGGGAAATAGTGACCTTAGATGCTTAACCCATTCCCTCCCCAGCACCACTGCTCCCACTTAAATACTCCCTACTCTCCACCCTCACTGGAAGAAAGGAAGGACAGAGGAGAAGGGGAAGCTAAAAAAGATTAGAGAAAGATTACAGAAATCTAATTAAAGGTGAACCATCATCTCCTTGTACAGAGCTATTTGTGTGGGGCTTTTCTTTCATCAGATATCAGTAACAGCCTCATTCAACCTTTCTGCCCTGATCTCCTTTTAATAAAGCCCATGTCAATATATTTGAAACTTCATCACTTGGTGTTTGCATATTGATTTCTTTAGTGTTATCAACCTTTAATTTTGAAAATAGCATTCATTTTTAGCAGCTTCCTAGCATGCTGGAGCATTCTTTGTTCTGCTTGAGGAGTTAGGTCTTTTTCTGTGTTTTGCCCTTTGGGTAGTTCTCTTCATGATTAAAATTTATATGTCAGCATTTTATCTAGCCTTTTTTCCTTCTTGTAGCAACAATTTGAAAACTTCTTAAAAATATAATCTTCCTTTTTCAAAAGATATAACAGCATTCTTGATAGAAGAGGAAGTTGCTCAAGTGATGCTTAAAGTTCTCTTGATTCCCTAACAAAAGATTTTTTTATTGTTTGTCTCTTCCCAAATTAAGTTTCTTTGGATTTATAAATAATAAAAAAATGGAAAAAATTGTATCAAACACAGTATACAGTTCTAAGGTCTTCTTTTAAGCATTGCTTGGTCATTTAATTTCTATACTCTTATCAATGTGATTAATGGTAAATACTCACCAAGCATTTATAATATAGAAAGAACTGAGACAAACAGTTATATGAGATTGGCACTATTCTTCAACTAATTTTTCAGATGACAAAACAGGCCTGGAGACCATTCCATTCAGATAATGGAGTAGTCCTTGGCAGAGCTGAAATTCAAAGCATTCTTTGTCTCAGGGGGCTATACTCCAAACTGGTATTTGACAATGCCTCTATAGGATTCATGCTTTGGGTAGTTTTCCCTTTCCAAGTCCATTATTTCTCAAGTTTTCAGTTCTGTCTTCACTACAATTGTTTACACTCTTGCTAAGGTAGTAAAGTTTGGCAGTTCATGGTACATGTTCTTAAACAGATAAAGTAGACCCAAAGCCAGCACATACAAGGAATAATCTTGAGTAAATGTTTTAGCCTGCTGTGCCTCAGATTCTTAATCTGAAATTGAGGAATAATAGTTCTTCCTTCATAGAGTTGTAATACTTAAATAAACACATACAAAGTATTTAGAAGTATCTCTGGTATAAAGGAAGTATTTAATAAATAGCTAATAATGTATTTATTGATTCAGCATATACAATTATTGAAATCTCTTATATGTACAAAATGCCAGACATCATGAGACATGATGGTGAAAAGGTTTAATGGACAGTTAAACAAGAATCAGTAGCCAATTTTGTAAATCTCTCCAACTAGTGCTTTGATACCTGAGTAGTTCAGGTTTGTAGTATGATTTTTCTAATGTAATGTTACTTTTCTAATCCTGTCAAGAGGTGGTGTTAATTTCTTGTTCTTTGAATTTGGAATGGCTGTGATTAAAGAATGTGGTGAAAATGATGTGGGATGACTTTTAGGTTTAGATGTTAAGAGGCCTCACAGATTATTCTTCAACTGGTGAGATCTAGTCTTCGTGTATGGAAGTGGCTACATTATTGCAAGATGAAACATGTAGTAGAGAGATAGGAACTCTGAGAGTTTCTGGCAATTTCAGTTACCTTGGCTAGGTTCCAGGCGTGTGGATGAAACCTGGCACACTAGACTCTGTAGCGTGTGTCAAGTTACCCTAGTCAGCACCAAATAAAACACAGGCCGATTGCCAGTTCTGCTCAAACTGAAGATTATGAGCAAATGAACAAAATATAGTCACATGTTTTGTTACATGTTTTGATCAATGATGAACCACATATGTATGATGGGCCTACAAAATTATAATGGAGCCCAAAGACTCCCATGATATTGTAACCTTCACAATGTTTCGATGTAATTACCCTCATGTTTATGGTGCTGCACATCTACTAGGCTTCCACTCTTCACTTTCATGTGTACAGCACATAAAATTATGCAACACATTGTTTACTAATGATAATAAAAGATTATATTACTGGTTCATATAGTTGCTGTACTACAGTTACCATTGTTTCAGGTTATATTCTCTGGGCTTACAAAAAGTTTACCATAAAACAGCATACTGTGCTACCCTGTCAGCATCCTCAGAAATCTCACATTTATCTGCCTTCATCTACTTTATTTCCTCCCTGTCCCCACAGATATTTTTCTAGGTTTACTTATATACATATACAATGAAAACGGAGAAAAATTCTTTTCTATTGTACAGTATTGGCAAAGCAATGAAAATATGCTGCCTGGATCTACTTTCAAATCTGTGCTGTCTTCTGCTCTCCACAGGGTTTTCCCTGCTGCATGGGAAAATATTCTTTCATTTACCACGGAGATGATTTCCATGGTAACAATAAAAAGAATGAGACACAAGTCTTGAAAAGTAAACTTCTGTAAAATATGGGGCATGATAGTGGGCTTGCCCTGAAAAATGTGGGACTAAGGTCTCCCTAATATTCTAACACTCTTTAATCCTAAGGACCAGATCTTTTCTCTAAGATAGCAGATTTTTTTTAGTGCTCTTTAGGTTCTCAGACAGGACTAAAGCTAAGAAAAGAACTAGGAATTGTTTAAGTCTAACCATTTAGATATCACTCTCTTGAAACAGGAGGTATATCCTTGGCCATATTTCTCACCAAGATTCTTGCCTACTGCCATCTGACTGGGCCTCTCTTGTGATCCACCCTTCCATTAAAAAAAAATGTCCTGGCTAACATTGTCCAAAAAGAAATGCACTCTTTTTTTTCATTTTTTTTTCATTTTGCCAGTGTTGGGGTTTGATCTCTGGGCCTGGGCACTGTCTCTGAGCTTCTTTTGCTCAAGGCTAGCACTCTACCACTTGAGCCACAGTGCCATCCAGCTTTTTCTGTTTATGTGGTACTGAGGAATTGAATACAGGGCTTCATGCATGCCAGGCAAGCACTCTACCACTAAGCCACATTCCCAGCCCAGAAATGTACTCTACCTGCCTTAGGTAATTGTAACCCCTCAATACATCACCTTTATAATTATAAACAATTAAAAATAAAATTCTCTTCCAATTCTTGGCACTGTTTTATTTCTGCATCTCCTCTTGTAAGCTATCCCCAAAACTTCTTTTCTTCTAGACATGAAGCAGTTCAGCTTGGAGGGAGTGACACATGAGTGCTCTTTTGGGAATTCTCAGAAGGAATGAGAGTGTAGTACTGAATAGTATTCAATGTAAGCAGTCAAGTCTTTGAGCCACTGGATTCTCATTTTCTTTGTTTGTAAAATGAGGCCCCATATCATTAGTTTTCTGGGAGAATTGTTGTTATACTTGCAAAAGATATGTCTAATATGCTATCAGAATAGGCTTATTACATCTCAAGTTTGGTCACAGTTTGAAAGAACTAATTAATTACAAAGTACTTCCACATTCTAAAGTGCTAGACTAGCCATGTCAAAACAAGTTTATGGAGTAAAAGCTGTTTTGGCTAGAATATGCAGTCATCAAAGCTGATGAGGTCAGGAAATTTCTTTCTTCAAACAGTTGAACAAGGGATTTAAATTTAATGTGTCCATTTATAGGTATGATGGTGAATCTTTTTTCTATTGATATAATTTTTATCATCTTTAAGTCATTGTACAAAAGAATTTCAATTCAACATGTCTGATTATGATTACAATGTGTCATGATCAATGTCAGTCCTTCATTGTTCTACCCTTACCTCCCAAGTCCACCTCCTGAAGTTAGTTGGTTCCATTTTCACATATTGAAGTAGGACTGCTGACTCCAACCAGTGCCATGTTAGCCACATGGTAGATGATAAGATACTGATTTTTGACTGGTGCCATCTTGTCTTCATGGAGGAAGCCGGGAAGTTCCACCTCTCAGATGATGCGCATGCCTGAACTCCTAGAGGCAGGGGTGGGGACTTGGACAATAGGTTACTGGACCTTCCAGTTGGGCTGTGAACTCTCAAGCTCACTGTGACTTTGCCCAGTGACCTGAGCCTATTTAGGCCTGGACCAGCTCAGGCACCATGATGCCATACCATGAGTCCTGACTCTCTGGCTCTTTTCCAGTCACCATGGCATCCCATTTCAGCTTTCCACCGAAGCTGATCTGGTTTGTTGGTATTTTTTTTCCATTCTATTTTTTTTATTGTGAAAATACTGTACAGAGGGGTTACAATTACATGGCAAATTAATGAGTACATTTCTTATCAAGCATTGTTGCCTCCTCCTTTGTTTCCCCTTCCCATCCCTTCCCATCTCCCAAACAGTATTTTTTTAAATAAGTTTTTTTATTGTGAAAATACCGTAAGAAGGGTTACAATTACATGAACAAGGTAATGAGTACATTTCTTATCAAGCATTGTTGCCTCCTCCTTTGTTTTTCCCCTATGATCCCTGTCCTCCCATCTCCACGACTACTCCTGGTCCACCCCCCCCCAGCCCGCCCCCCCTGCCAAAGTTGTAAAGTTCATTTTCGACATAGCATCTTGTACATCTCATTGTTGCAATGGGTCCATCTGAATCCCTATTTAAACAACTTCATTTTTCCCTTCCCCTCCCCAAATTATACCAACATCAAATACAGTGAAAACAGGGGTTAAACTGTGGGGGAGGAACATACAAAGCAACAAAAATATCACCTTATAAATATGTTAGAAACAATAACAAGAAAAAAAAAACCACTTGTGCCCTTATCTTGGGGTTCATTTTGCCTAACATCAACTTATCTGACCTTTTCTGCTTGTCTCAGACATATACTAGTTATTGCAAATAAGGGAAACCATGGAACCTATGTTTCTTTGTGCCTGGCTTACTTCACTTAATATGATTTTTTCCAAGTCTTTCCATTTCCTAACAAATGGGGCAATGTCATTCTTTCTGATTGAGGCATAGAATTCCATTGTGTATATATATATATATATATATATACTACATTTTCTTGATCCATTCATCTACTGAGGGGCATCTGGGTTGGTTCCATGTCTTAGCTATGGTAAATAATGCTGCAATAAACATAGTTGTGCTGGTAGTTTTAGTATGGTCTTGTTTGAGATCATTTGGGTAAATGCCCAAAAGTGGGATTGCTGGGTCATAGGGAAGCTCTATGTAGAGTCTTTTGAGGAACCTCCGTACTACTTTCCAAAGTGGTTGAACAAGTTTACACTCCCAACAACAATGCAGTAGGGTTCGCTTCTGTCCACATCCCCGCTAGCATCTGTTTTAGAGTTCTTGATTATAGCCATTCTAACTAGGGTGAGGTGGAATCTCAGTGTTGTTTTGATTTGCATTTCTTTTATGGCTAGAGAGGTTGAGCATTTCTTCATGTGTCTATAGGCCATCCTTTTTTCCTCTTTAGGGAAGTTTCTCTTTAAGTCTTTAGGCCACTTATTTATTGGGCAGTTGTTTCTTTGAGGATTTGTTGTTGGGGGATTTAACTTTTTGAGTTCCAGGTATTTTAGATATGAGATCCTTGTCCATTGTATGGCTAGTAAAGCTCTTCTCCCAATCCGTGGGCTTTCTATTGATCTTGCTAGCTTTATCCTTTGCCATGCAGAAGCTCTGCAGCTTCATGCAATCCCATTTGTCCAAACTTTCTTTGATTTGTTGTGTTTCTGGGTCTCTATTGTGAAAATTTTGGCCTGTGCCAAGGAGACCTAGGGTTTCTCCTATTCCATCCTGTAATGTTTTTAGAGTGTCTGCTTTGACTTTGAGGTCTTTGATCCATTTGGAGTTGGTTCTGGTGCAGGGTGATATATAAGGATCTAGCTTTAGTTTTCTACAAGTAGTTAACCAATTTTGCTAGCACCATTTACTGAAGAGGCTGTCTTTCTTCCATTCTATTTTTTTTTAGCTCCCTTATCGAAGATTAGATGGCTATAGGTCTTTAGGTTCATTTCTGGGTTTTCAATTCTATTCCATTGATCCTGAGGTCTGTTCTTGTGCCGGTACCAACCTGTTTTGATTACTATGGTTTTGTAGTAGAGTTTGAAATTTGGTATTGATATTCCTCCATCACTGTTCATTCTGTTAACAATCGTTTTTGCTATCCGAGGTCCTTTATTGTTCCATATGAATTTCTGGATTCCCTCTTCTATTTCCTTGAAGAATGAGGTTGGAATATTCGTAGGTATTGCATTGAATTTGTAGATAATCTTGGGAAGTATTGCCATTTTCACGATGTTGATCCTTCCAATCCAGGAGCATGGGAAGTTTTTCCACTTTCTAAGTTCTCTTTTAATTTCCTTTTTCAGGTTTTTAAAGTTTTCATCATAAAGGTCCTTCACTTCTTTGGTTAAGTTTATTCCTAGGTGTTTTTTTTGTGGGGATATTATGAATGGAGTTGCTTTCCTGATTTCACTTGCGCTCTTCTCATTGTTGGCATACAGAAAAGCCATTGATTGCTGAGGGTTAATTTTATACCCTGCTAACTTTGCCCAAGTTTCGAATCAGCTTGAGTAATTTGGGAATAAAGTCCATGGGATTCTTTAAATATAAGATCATGTCATCTGCAAAGAAGGAGAGTTTTACTTCATCTTTCCCTATTTGGATCCCTTTTATGTTGGCATCTTGTCTTATTGCTGTAGCTATGCATTCTAATACTAAATTGAAGAGAAGTGGAGAGAGTGGACATCTTTGTCTCATTCCTGAGTTAAGACACAGTGGCTTTTGTTTTTCACCATTAAGTATAATGCTGGCTGTAGATTTGTCATATACAGCCTTTATTGTATTGAGGAATGTTCCATGGATTCCTAATTTTTCCAGAGCCTTCATCATAAAGGGGTATTGGATCTTGTCAAATGCCTTTTCTGCATCTATTAAGATAACCATGTGGTTCTTATTCTTGCTCTTGTCGATGTGATGAGTTATATTAATTTATTTGCGTATATTGAACTAGCTTTGCATCCCTGAAATGAATCCTTTTTTATCGTGGTGACATTGAATTCTTGACTGCAGTCTCCCTGCTCTTCATTCACCTACTTTTCTCCCTTTGACTTTTTAAGTACCTGTTTCTTGGTGTTTGTTGAACTTTGCCTACCCCTTTTAAGTATCTGTCTCTTGGTGTTTGTTGAACTTTCCCTTTGCCTTTCTAAGGAATTACACTATTTGAGTTCTCCCTTTAATATATTGTATTTCAGCTAATACATTGTATACACTTGCATATCACACAACATATTTACTTATATGTTTACTTATACTAATTCTAGCTTCCACTGATCAGAGAAAACATGCACTCTTTGTCTTTCTGTATCTGACTTACTTCACTTCATGTAATATTTTAGGTCCTTCCATCCCTTTGCAAATGGTACAATATTATTCTTTTTAGTTGATGAGTAAAATTTCATTGTGCATATGTCCATATTTTCTTGCTCCATTTGTCCATTGAGGGGCATCTGGACTAATTACAAACCAGGATACAGTAAAGACACCAGCATAACCATGTTCATTTCATCATTATTCATCATTTGTAAATTCTTGCTCTAACTTTCTGAACAGTTGAAATTCTAGTTAGAAAATTATTACTTATGTCTTTCTTTCAGTTTTTCTATAGTAGTTTCAAGTGTTGGGTGTTACATTTAGGTCTTTAATCCATATGGAGTTGAACAGATAGGAGCCTAGCTTCAGCATTCTCCAAGTAGGTAATCAGTTTTGGTACCATTATTTCTTGAAGAGGCTGTCTTCTCCAGTGTGTTTTTGGATACTTTGACAAAGTTCAGATGGCTGTGGTTGTGTACTTTTGTTTGTGGGTTTTCTATTCTGTTCCATTGGTCTTTGTGTGTATTTTGACTGCAAAAAGAACTTATGTCATCTTTCATGATGATTTCAATGACTAGTTAGTTCTAGCAAAATACAAATTATTTATGTGCTTATATGCAGGAAATATAAAAGTAATCAGGTTCTTATAAAATATAGAAGTGCAATTCAGAAATAAATCCTAAGAGGTAGTAATCAAACTGATTGCCAGGGGCACCATAATCTGAGATATAGTCATAAATATGTGAAATCAAGAATCTTCCCTGGAAACTTGTGGATTTTAGAAAATGTTAAACAGTTGCATCCTGGAAATGGTAAAGTCACTGTCGTTGTTGAATTCACTCACTACAACACTTGTGAAACTAGACAGTGATTGTTGAAATACTGTTGCAGAAAAATTGTATGCCTGCATTGTTCTACCTGCCATCAACAACCAACATCTCAGCAGGCAAGTCTGGTCTCACTTCTACCTATCAGGTCTGTATAACTCACAATGGAAATATTCACTATGAAAGAGTCAAAGAAATCTCATTTTGAGCTTTAGGGATTCTGCACTGCAGGAAAATACCACAGAAGGTAGTGGGTGCTAAGAGCCAATGTTTCATATCTTTCCTACTGATTCCATATACATGAAAGAGCATCTTATACCTTTAACTAAAAGATCAGTTACTGGGTTCAGCTTAGCTTTTCAAAAAGTCAACTTTATTGAGGCACAGCTTGGGTACAACATAATGTACCTATTTGAATAAGTTTTGACAGACAATGAAAATGGAAGACCATTTTGGGGTCAGTGGCTCATATCTGTAATCTCAACTCCTCAGGAGACTGAGAACTGAGGATCACATTCAAGGCAGCTCAGGCAGAAAAGTCTTAAAGACAAAAGCTACAATTAATCAGCAAATATTGAAGTGGAGTGGCTGACATGGTGACAAGAAAGTCGAGAGAGAAAGAGAGAGAGAAAGAGAGAGAGAAGAGAGAGAGAATGTAAAATCACCAAGGATAGAGATGTACACATTTGTAAGTCCCAATTTACTGGAAGGCTTTGGCAGGAGGATGGCTTGAGCTCGTGAGTTCAAACCAGCTATGTAACACAAGGAGATCCTATCTGGAAAAAATGATATAAAATCTTTCTGTTATTAACAAAAGTTCCTTTATGCCTTTTTGGAGACAGCCTTCCCACTTCATCATAACAATTTATCTGTTTTCTGTCACTATAGCTCAATTTTCATGTTCTAGAATTTCATATAAATAAAACCATGCATTAAGATCCAGATGTTTTTAATATTTGAAAACATTTTTTTTTCTTGCCAAGACTGGGATGGTAGAGTGGAATACATAGGGTCTCTGAGGTCAGACAAGCTCAGAGTTGAATCCTTGCTTTGCTACCTACCGGTTACTAATCAGTGCAGGTTGAATGTGCTGGGGTTAGATTTCTTATTAGTAAAATAGTAATTGAAAAATAAACCAAACTAAAATTTTACAAAACAGCACTAATGTATGAAAGCATGAAGTAGCTCTCCATGCATGGTGAGTGATCATTATTTCTCTTAATGATGAACTATCATTTTCCATTTATGCTACTTTTCCAGTCAAATTTCTCTAAACTATAGTGCTTCTGTGGAGAATTGTACTACTGGCTTGCACATATAACTGCCATACAATGACAAATAGCTGATTCTGGAGGATCAGATTGTTTAGGTTCAGTTCTCTGTCTGCCACCTGCTATGTGACCTTATATGATTTTGGATGTTTCCATGACTTTATTTTTTATGTAAGAAAGGAATAATGATAACCAGGTTGCATCCTATCAGCATAAATTCTCTCTTCATCCAAGCTCCTACCCCAAGAGGAGTGCCTTTTGTTTTTATGACCAGCTTCATTTCCCCATTTTAGCTTCTAAGAATTTCTCCTAGAAGTATAATTATATTCTTACAGAATATATTTGTACCCTCTCTTATGGCACTCAGTCTGCACTTCACATTACCATTGAGCCACAGAAGATGTGAGACATAAAAATGGTTCACTCAAACTTTTCATCTTATAGAAAGTATTACAGACATGGAGTAAGGATAAATTACTTTCCTAAGACCACATCTTCAGAAGATAGACTGAGATAGAACTTGGTCTCCTAACTCTCAGGCTAGCATCCACACATGATTTAAAGTGTGTATTAGAGTCCCTGAACATGATACTTGATAGTTTATTGGATTATTATGTGAATTCATAATCTAAGCTCTGCTTGTCATAGTGCCTTAGATCTTGCCATCCCCTAAACAAAAAACAAAGAAACATGATACCAGATCCTATTTAATTATAATTTCAAAACTTATCAAGTAACCATTCGAAAACAAGTCATGTATATTTATATTACAATGTGAGGTTACTAAATAAAATCTGTTCAGGATATCTTGAACAGATTTTATGTGGCAGATATAAATTCCTGCTGACGTGGCATCAGTTCTTTTAGTGGCTCACCATAAATTGAAAAAAGTCCTGCCAGTAATTGCAAAGTAAACACTTTTTGACATCAACTCAGTCGTTGGGTAAATACTTTATGATGAAATTTCAGTGATACCTTTAGTTTAATAAGATAAAAGTCTGTACTATACCCATGTAAGGCAAACACAGTAGGTAAAAAAAAGTAAAATACAAGCAAAGCAGTATTTTATTTGCTTGTCAGAAAGAAGTTTTATGGCTTCTCTAGGGCTGAGGAACTAAAAATGTAGCCAAAAGACAGATGTTTATGTCCATATGTCATTTTAGACTTTGCTGGGGAATAAATAAGGAAAGTCAGTAAAAATATTCTGGGAATGGCAAAGAAAACATGAGAAGCATGAGAAAGTTAGGGAGATATCCTCTATGAATGTAGAAGAGCCTCCACTCTTCTCCTCCTCTTCACTTTCCTCCTCTGCCCCTTCCTGTCTTCCTCCCCCTTTCTAATGAGTACCAGAATTAAATGAAGGTGAACTACTACTTGAATCACTCACAGCCTTTTGTTTTGCATTAGTTGTTTTTCTGATGTCGTGTAATGTTTTTGCCTAGGGTTTATTTCAGGCTATAATCCTTTCTATGCCTCCTGTGTATCTGAGATGATAGGTCTAAAATACCACACTGGCTTATTTGTTGAGATAGAGTCTTGCTAACTTTTTGCCTGGGATAATTTTGAACCGCAGTCCTCCCAATCTCTGCTTTCCAAATAACTGAGATTATAAGTGTGTGCCACTAAGCCTCTCTTACAAGTTTTAGACTGATGTACATCAGGGATTTCCTCCCTCAGGTCTGGTCATTTGATAGAAGGATTAAAAAAACTGAAGTCAACATATATTTGAATCCATGGCTAATATTTATTACCTTGAAAACACACAGTGGACTAGAAAGGGGAATAGGTGCCTGGATGAAGTCAGGAAGAAATCAGGCACACGTTTCCAAGTATCCTGTCACACTGGAACGGCTCCCTTTCTTTAACAATGAGAGAGATGAGAACACATGCAAAGTGTTATCCTAGGCTAGCTCATTAGAAATGTATGCCCAGGGGTTCTTCTAATCAAGGCCTTATCTAATGGAATCCCTCTGCCTATACATACTAAAATCTCAGATTCCCAGAAGGAAAGCAGGTGTTCAGCATAAGCCGTGCTGTTTGCATGGTATAACCACTGTGAGCCACATTTGTGATTAAGGCAAAGTTCCCCATCAGTAAAGGGGAGTCTTTATCATTCAAGCTCCTATGTGCCAGGCTGTGGCTGATCTTGCAGGCAGGCCTCAACAACAGGCCTGCTATGATAACTCTTTCCTATGTGCACTGTTTTCTTTATTCTGGCAGTATAAAGACAAAGGACAACAACTGTCATAATCCTGTTTGTGGTAACTAGGTTGTCTAAAGTCACACTGAGTTAGTTAACTAGGTTAGTTCAAATGGGACTTTATGTAGGGACAGGTTTCTGGGGACTATATATCTGGGATATGTTCAAATCCTTTGTTTTTCTTTTCAATTTCTTTGTTTTTGGCTGCCATGATCTGATGATACTTCTATTCGTGTGTTTAGTGCTTGCTGTATCTAGGCAGATATCCCAGATGGCTGTCTTAGGCTCATTACAGCATGATGGTATGATGGCTGGCTTTCCCAAGAGCCAATATTCTAAGATACCCAGAAGTTCTAGAATATCACTTCTATCACATCCTATAGTTAAAAGCACACAAAGACCAACCCAGAATCAAAACAAGAGGACTTAGACTAATAAGGAGAAAAGCAATTATCTCTAATGATTAAATTAATCTAAATTATATTCATTTCTATTATGGTTATCTGCTCTACATGTTTTATCTCTCTTACTGACTGCAAGTTGCTTAAGAGAGGAACTCATTTGAAATCTTTACAATATTTAACAATACTTTGTTTATAACAACATCGTTATACACTGAGAAATTATTTATTGAAGAACTGAATACTATGAAATGCTTACTTCATGCTAAACTCTATACCAAGCTCTTCAAAATATATTATCTCATTGAATCTTTCCAACAACTTTGTGAAGTAGATATTATTATTCCCACTTTTACTTGAGGAAAGTGAAGCACAGAGTAGGCAAGTAATTTGTCTAAGGCATGAAATCCTAGTGCTAGTATCTGAAGTCAGACTGACCCTCATGCATATATAAAGTCATCACAGTCTATTGATTTCATCATAGATCCGGGCTTTTTATAAAGAGGAAATTCACAACAAATCCAAATTGAGGTACTAAGCTGTTGGAGGAAAAAACCCTAGAGAAGTCTTAGGAGTATGAGAACTTTTACTAATTCTTTTTCTAATACAACTGGACAAGTGGAGAAGGTAGCATACAAGGATGGTAATA